AAAATGTAGTCCTCAAGACCCATGCACATATAGAAGTATCTCAATTACAATGAAAATAATAATAAAAATTGTTCTAGCGAGGCTCTCATCGTTTATTTAAATCAACTTTACAAAACCCTGTTTGGATTTTGTTCTGGTAAGTGATCTAATGATGGTCTACATGGCATCAAATAACTGCAGAAGATTGCATAACTCTCCAATAGAAAACTGGATACCTGCTTTGTTAACCTGACAGCAGCATATGACCACATTAATAGAGTCCACCTCTTCTTTTCTATTAGAAACCATCTTCTAAACTCAACTGAATACGTTGATCTAATAGGGGGAACTGTATCAGTCCGCAAAATCATACATGTCTGGAGAGGATCCCAATAGGGAAACATTTGAAAACTCATCAGGAGCACAACGAAAAGGTCATGGGAGCCCCAGTCTATTTAATCTCTTCCTAGTCTATGGACCTCGCCTATACAAGCATTGATGTGACGACATTGACCATTTAAGCATTCCATACCCCCAAATGAATATACCTTTAAAAGACAATGACTCCATGGCCAATGTGCTGATGATGAGAGGGTTGAGGCAGGGTTACCGATGACGTAGGTATTCATAGTTGGGATAAGAAAGATGTTGAACAGAAAATAAATATCCTCTACCAAGTGTTCCAAGAAATAGCACAAGAAACGATAAACTCTTCCACAAGAAGAAACTATGATGTAGAATTGGAATGAAAACAATGATGACATATATCCAGAATATATCATAAAAATTAAGGGTGTGGCTTTAGTAAATACTAAACACATCAAAAACCACGGCGTATGAATCAGTTATGACAGATTTAGTGTACGTAATAAGGAAATTGAATATAGAATAGGCAAGGATGGGCTAGAGGTAGTTTCATGTAACATCGGAAGTTGCTACGGTATCAAAAGTATTAACATAAAAACTAGAGTCATGTTCTTAAATAGCCGCTCCAGATCGAGACTTTCATATGGATGTCATAACTGGCGCTAAGCCCATTCAGAAATATTTCAACTGTCAACTGTATATAACCGCTTTCTCAGGATAGATGTTTAAAAATGACATTGACGAATGAAATCTGTAGGTCGTAGTGGCGAAAGATCCCCCGGTAAGTCAAAGTAGGAAAATTTTTCGACTTTCTTGAACCCACATAAATCGCACACCAGCTTAATTTTTCCCACGCTTAAACAACTGTTGAACCCTGAGATTAATTTAATATCTATCACCCATTGACAAGAATACTCAAGAAAATTGGTAACTTTCTAATAGCCTCCAGCATGCTCACTATCAACGACAGAGAAACAATTAAAAACTTCAACCAATCAATTTTGTCTCATGATTCGATTGCTCACTTGTACACTATCTTTCTAATAATAATAAAAAGTAAGAATACTTTGGTTAAATAATTAATACATTATTGCATCGATTATCCTTGCCGTTTCTTCACTAATAGCTCAATTAAATAGCATATAACTAACCTAACAAAACCAAAAAGTCCTCCATAATGCAATAATATAGCGTATATATTAACTGTACAAACGATGACAAATTGTAAAAAACAATCTAGTATCAATAATATTTAATGCGATGTAAAAAAAGGCAGATGGAATATATTTCACAATTAATTAAAAGACGCTTGAAGTACGATATTTGAAACATCCACCAAATAGAAAGCATCAATATATCTGCAAAGACGCATGTAGTTATTAGTTTATGTTTGATCAAATATTTTCACTCTGTACTGTTTAATTTATGTCTTTTTCATTGAACATTGAACATTGAATTGCAAGGATGGAGAATATGTTGAAAAATAAATATTTGATATATATATATATATATATATATATATATATATATATATATATATATAGTAAATGTTCTTTTATAACGAGGTTAACTCTGTATTTACACACATGCACTCAAACAATAATTTTTTCTTTTGTTGTGACTACGTTTTAGTGCGTAAATCTGTTATTTTCTTAGAATGAAAATTTTCAGTTGTTTTCTCTCTTTCAACGACTGTTCGTTTATAAAACGATACATTTGAATTTTTTTAAACTGACTACAGTCGACGTTCAGCGTTCAATCGCTATACGGAAATGTACTCTCTCCTCTTTTACTCTTACACTCTTTTTTCCTCATTCTCTTTTAACCTCTCTATTTGTTTACGCAATAAATGAAGCTTCTTCTAATTCCATTTCCATGTCTTTGTCTTCATTTCCTTCTTATATATCTCTGGCTAAGGAATGAATTCTAATGACATAAAAAAAAATTTAAAAAATAGTCCCCTTACTAGCTTGCCACAACTTCTGAGGAAAATCAGTGTTGAGATTCTTTACTGGTGCTAATTTAATATAAGCTATTAATAATGATATCACATTAATTGAAAGGACATAAACAGCGTCAAGTAACATTTTTTTGTCTTTTAATCATTTCATCTCAGCAAAGGCAATAAAGCTACTAAGACAAAAAGGGGGTTACTGAGTATGAAAGAATATGAGAAAAACAAAAAATAAAAACATTATTAAGTTGAGAGAACAATAAAAAACAGCATTTAAGAAGACAGAAAATGACGATTGATATTGCATTTAATTTTTTGGAAATCAAGAAGCCGAATGAGAGTTCCCCAAGCAAGAAATGTGAGAGAAGAAACAGTCAGCTTACAATTGCATCAGACAGTTTCATCTGTAAAACTCGTGAAATCAATTTACTAACTAGGAAATCTCATCTAAGCAATAATAATGAAAATATTTCTAGGAAATGCAAAGGGAATTTAGGAAAATGACTGAGACCGAGATATCAGGTCTGGACCGATAATGTTGCAAGTTTTTCTTTGGATTTTATCAAGAATCTATAAATGCATAATGGAAGCACCAGACCAGATTTTCCAGAAATATCCAATGCATGAACGAATGGTAGATTTATAAATGTGTAAGATAGATTTTGCAAAGTTGTAATGAAGAACAATATCTTACTATGATATTGACCTTACGAGTCAAATGTTTCCTTCTCTTACATCCTCATCATCATTATTGTTATGTCGGATTTTCTTGACTTCAAGACACATATTTCTTGGTCATCCATGAGAGTTGGTAGTGTTGACCAAGTTTGTCGTAGTCTCTGAATATGTAAGCCACTGAAGTCCGTAATGTCTTCAATATCAGAGGTTGGCAGTTTTTTGGTAGCAGCTTTTAATTCTTTAAGTCTTCGATATCAGAGGTTGGCAGTTAAGATATTTTGGGAGAAAAAACAAAATGGCTGCCTTTATACACGTCGGATTGAATATTTTGAGCTTTCTGATTGGTTAACCCTTCTCTTGGTGGACTATAAAATGAGACAGCTCATTTGGGTTGGCTCACTAGTACAAAAACTACCCAACAATTCTAACAAGTAGTTCAGTAATGATAATGTCACGAAACTATAACAAATCTTATAATGGCAATGCTGACTGTTTCTCACGATAATAATCATAGCAGCAATTCCCTTTGGGAACTAGATGACACTAGAAACTGTTGGTTGTAAACTGTGATTGGCACTGACACCTTGTTGAATCAGCATGAAATACTATAACGCACTCCACAGTCTCTTGTGATTCACGCCTTCCTTACCTGGTGGAACATGCCAAGAGGTCACTGGAATCAAAGTGAAGGTCAATTGTGGACAAAATAAAAACATTATGATATCATTCTGCCATTGGGATTATATTTCTTTGCTCTGCTCCAAATATTATCCCAAAATTTCTTCACTTCCTATACACTTCCTCCAATAGTTTGTGACTTTTTGACTTCTATAACTGCTTTTCCAGTTTCCTTGCAAAACCTCTTGAAGTCCGTTTGAAATTTTATTTTGTCGATAGAACCTACAACACTTTTTATATCGTCTTGTTCTATGTGCCTGTAATTGCAGTTTCTGTTTAATTATTTCCTTGATGGGTGAAATTTCATTTAGTAATTTAATTTTATATTTCCGCTTGATCTCCTCTTTTCAGTTTTATAACATTTAGGTTTCTTGATCTCGCATCTACTATTGATGATTAACATCTGATTTCTTCTATTTCTCGTTTCAATTTTGCCTACCAAGCTGGTATTTTTGTCTGTTGTTTTATTTATGCTTTCTCTTGATACCAAGATGTACAGTAGTTGCTAAAATTGTTGCATATATAACATTATTTACTTCTATGATATTTCCAAATAGTTTGTCCGTTAATAGTGTTTGCAGTGTAGCGTTATATGTTTGCACAATATGTTTATTAGTCTCTATCTGACATTTGTGTGCGAGTTACTCTGCTGAGTATTTGAATGATCTGTTTTTTCGCTTCAGTGATTTCACCGCTGTTGTTTTCAAGGAATTCTCCCCTATCTCGTTTGATTCATCTTCAGTGGAATAATCTGAAGAACTGCAGTTGTTTATGTCGAAGGTAGATTATTTTTTATCACTTTTATTTTATTTTTTATCTCATCCTCTGTCGTAAATGAGATACTAAATAATCTCACAGAAAATTAAACGGAAGAATTATTATTATTATTATTATTATTATTATTATTATTATCTCTTCTGCATTTCGACTTTATAGTTAATTTATCTCTCTCTTCCTCATTTCTGTATATTTTATCTTTTTCTTATTTCATAAGCATTATTTTTTCATTCATTTATTTCATTTATTGTCTTTTGGAATTTTCTTCATATTGACTTCTTTTATTAGTTCCATTTTCATTAATCATCATTTTTCATTGTTGCACTTCTAAAAGTGACTTTCGTCTGATAATTTCAATTTTCTTTCTAATTATGAAACTCCTCGAGTATAAGTCGAGTGCGTCACCCTAAATAATTTCTTGTTCTGCCATTTTTTTCTACTTTCTTTCGTTATCCAATTCTACTAATTTCCAGATGCGCTTCATTCAAATTTTCTATTTTCTTCACGACACCAATCACAGTGCGATGATTAACGAGCTCACTTTTAGATTCGTCTTGATTTCTTTTAGTTGTTGATAGCATTTTATTTTTTGCTCTTTTTTTCGTTATATTTTGATTTTCTTTCTTTCTTTCTTTCTTTCTTTCTTTCTTTCTCATCACTGTCCTTAATTTCCCATTCTTCGTCTTCTCCTTCTATCTCAAGGTAATAATATGTGAAGCAATTATAACCTCAACAACACGCACAATGCCTCAGAAGAAATAATGTCAAAAATCATTGCTTGTATGCCCTGAAAAAAAGCTTCGATTCACTAAGCTGTTGAGGTTAAATATAAATTTCAGATAAAGCTGTTACTCATGAGATTTGGGATTATCAACTGTGCCCTTTGGGAAACACAAGAGTTGCGAGCTGGACACACAGAAATAGGACAAGGCTCATACGTTTGTTTTCAAAAGAGACTTGCAATTCTCAATCAGAAATGCTCTTGGGGCATTTGACCAATTAAATTTATGTTACGTTAGACTCTGGTGTGTCTCTTAGCATTACCTATCTTGTATAATACGAATGTCAACGTAACAATATAAGAAAGATATATAAAGAATATTTTCCGTTGCATCAAAAAAGTCCAAAGCACCGAAATATAAAAAAATGAATCAAACAACTGTGAAAGAGTTGTGAGTTCAATACCTGGTTAAGGTAGTGATGAAATTGGAGAGGTGAATTAACAGGAGATAACTGATTAGACATGGCACGTGGAACTAGAACAGTCTACCCAGCGAGCGAAATAAAGGGTTCAGTTCGACATTTCAACCAACTGAAGAAATCCGGAGCGTACAACGGCTGAAACAAAGATGAGGGCGATATACCGAATAATGTAAATATTCAACTGTGAATAGCCATATAAATTAAACTTTGCCATATAAATTAGTTTAAATAAAATATACCCAATGCGTTCAAAGAAAGGTAGAAATAACTGTTCAAGTTAAGGATTAATCACTGCCTACCTACCTTAGGCTTATAAACCATCTCTCTCATTCATATAGCACACGTCATTCAGTATTTCTCCACTTTAAGTAGGTCTTGAGCCTGGTATTTCGTGAATGTTGAGACATCTGTTGAGGCAAGTTCTATTCATCAACAATTTGTGGGAATAATGTTATCACCATTTGTCAGGGCGAGTATTAAAAAACCCTGAACAAATGAAAACAAAAATATTTGACTGGTGCAATAAATATCCGATTATTACTTAGCGTATAGTTTGATGAAATTCTTCAATTTAATCTTCATTTTTTATCACAGCGTTTTAAACTGATCTATTCTCTAACCGTTAAATAAAATTGCGATAATTTGAAGCAAGATCTGAATTCGCGTCAAATCCCAAGGGAGATTATTGTATCATTATGTAAATTATATTATATGATATTATAATCATAATGACATTATAATTATGTATTATGTCATTATGCAACGTGTATGGATGTCACAGCCAACGTAGCCGTCGTTTCTCTAAAAATAATAAGCCAAATATAATATACTAGCAGTAGAGCCCGGCGTTGCCCGGGGATGTAACAGTAAGAGATAGATCAAGTATCGACCATCATAAAGACTGAAAAATAAAATTGACAAAGATTATTGTTTAAGGTTGACGGACACGCATGTCTTAATTAATTTTTTTTTTGTTTTTAGTTTTTTTTTTACGAATTGGTCCAAACTCAAACAAAACATTGTTTTCAATCACAGCCTGGGTTTTATAATAAGTATAACTCGATATGAGTTTTGTCGGTTGAAAAATTTTTCATTCTCCCGACAGAATCGTGTCTTATCGTGTTTTCAAATTGATTTCGTGCAAAAACAATTGTGTTTTTCCACTTTTTGCCGCTATCATGACCACGGCAAACTAATTTTACGTAGTCCTGTGAAGTTTTGTTGAAATCGGTTGAAAAATGTAGGAAATCCGATCCAATATATAAACGTACACACACACGCACACAATCTGCGTTTTATAATAAGTAAGATATATTGGTTTCACAACCACCACATTAACGCGTCATTCAACTAACCATTTGTCTGATAATGGTTTAGTGAAATCACATGTCACCAACGCACATAACGGAAAAAACACAAGAAATTCAACAAATCTTTATTAACAACACAAATGTATTATATCACATAAACTGTAAAAAACGATTAAAACAGAAGAAAGTATTATATATAAAAGCAAAGAATCCATCATCAATAATATGATATCCAATCTAGGAACAAATATGCTGAATATATTTCAATAATAATATATTTTAAAACGCAAACAATCAAACGAAATGAACTATCGCGTGAACACATGGAAGGGCACGCGCAACACACACACACACACACACACACACACACACACACACACACACATACATACACACACACACACACATATATATATATATATGCGAAAATATATAGAAAATAGGAAAGTACTCGGTAGGTAAATTATTTTTAAAAAATAGTGCTCGATACAAAAGTAGAGCATAAAGATAATTATTATTTAAAAATATGATTCCAACACGCTACATAAGAGGTCTCATGTTGAAAAAACAAGAGCTGAAAACTTTTTTTTTGGGGGAGAATAACTTATTTCCCAATAAGAAATAACTTATTTCCCAATAAGAAACAACTTATTTCCCAATAAGAAATAAGTTATTCCAAACAAATTTCGTTGAAGATGGAACAGAGCTTACTTTAATTCAATTTAATTCAAATAATTATATTGAAGTTTTCGGCTCCTGTTTTGAAACATGAGACCTCTTATGTAGCGTGTTGAATCATATTTTAAATAATAATATATATATATATATATATATATATATATATATATATATATATTGTCATATATATATATATTTAACCGATTGTGAAATCTGAAATCCAAATACATCCCCAAAACGGGATTACAACGCATAGAGGTGAGCCCGACCAGGGGACGGTTGTATTAAATGTGGTCTATATACAATCCAAAAATTTGAACGGACAGAACTTTAAATATTCCAAAATTATATAATCACTTAGACACCCGCTACCATGGTTTCAAGAATTAGGGTCATTTAAGGCGGTAGATGCTAGTTAATTTCCTTTTGCTTTATTGGTTTATTTTATGCGCGCACGAGAGGAAGTGTGGCAGAAGGGGAGGGGTGAGGCTAGAATGGGGAATCAGGGTGGGATGGATAGTTTTAAGAAATCACGTACCTTCTGTTCATGCGTGCATTTCGGTGCTACTATTGTTTTAGCTTGATCGCGCCATTTGTTTGTTGTTGTTACAGTGTAGACATGGCCGCTACGCTAGCAGTGTTCACCAAAGAGGAAGAAAGAGCATTGATTCGAATCTGCAGGGAACATGCTACCTCATCGATGCAGGACGCCCATCAACCTTTAGATTAAGCAAGCACGAGGGATGGTAATGGCGAACCGGCAAGTTATCACCGATGAGGTATCATGTTCTCTGCAGATTCCGTTCCCTGCTTTGTTCTTCCTTGGTTGACACCTGCTAGGGGATAGGCCATGTTTACTCGCGCGATTAAACCGAAACATCGACCGCGTGACCCCAATATAAGCAATCATGAGTAGAAGGCAGCGTGACAAACCTAAGGATATGTTATGAAGAAAGAGCGGATAATGTTTGAATTAACCTTGTAAATGATTCTAGGATTAAGGCATTTTAATTATAACACGAATGTTATACTTCCTCGTTGTCCACATTATTTATATGAGTTGGAAGAACACTTATTACTCGATGCTAGCATGTTTTGATTACATAAAACGTAGATACACAGCGACAAAGAGGGAAAAGAAACGGACATTGTGAGAAAAAAAAGTGAAACCTGAAAAATAGACGAAGAATTCGATGAAAAATTATCATAGTGTGAATGTAGGAAAGAAAGAAAAAATAATGGAGAAAGAAAGGCAAATAGAATAAGAAAGGATAAGAAGGAAAGAAAAAAAAAGCGAAATTAATAAAGAAAGAAAAGCTGATAAAGTTAAGATAGAAAAAAAAAATCCGAGTGGGTGAAAAAAAGATATTAAATAAAATTGCCATATTTATAATATTATCCTGTGATGAACAACAGCAAGTGAGAACATTCATTGAAGAATGCGTAAAATCATCATATTTCCTTGTAACATTTCTAACTCGATTTTCTTCGTCTGGAAGCGCCCACATACTTGTTTACATCATTGAACGATTTTCCCTCCGTTTGCTCCTTTAAGCGACGTGCACCTGTTCACCATCACGGCATGTTTGTGAGGCAAGAGCCCCGTAAACTGCATTGAGGCTTCATCTTATTATTACCTTCTTTTTTTTTGTTCACAAATTTGTGTAAGGGTAATAGAAGAAAGTTGCAAGAACGACGAGGAGGTGGAATTGGTAAAATAATTACAATTCCCTTGAAAAAAAAAGCGAGATCCTTTCTACTGCGATGTGTCCAAAGACAATACTTTCTAAAACAATGCTTATTAGGATTAGTTTCAGTATCGTGCATATCTTATATATTAGTATATAAGACTCTCTCAGAATTATGTTGCCGTCGATGTGTGGCTAAGTAAAGATTAATATAATAATAATAATAATAATATCTTTTTATTGTCTTATATTATTCAAAAGATTATCCTAATCCAAGTGGCTCTTTTTTATATAAAACATTAAGGAGTAATATGACATTCATCATGGAAAAGGTTAATACATCACGAAAATGCAGTAATAAATCATGATTTATTTAGACCAGACTCATCAGACTTATATTTCTTATTTATATTTTCGGTCTGATAAGACTTAGTTGAAATAAATTATGATTTACTACCGTCTTTTCATGTTGTGTGAATCTTTTCCTTGATATATATATATATATTTAAGTTATGAAGAATTTGGTAAACCGAATTGGTAAATCCAAGGAGGATGAAATCCTGAGAGCTCAATGTGAAGAACAGAGCTAATATTTAATGAACAACAGACTGTCTGTTGTTCATTAAATATATATATATATATATATATATATATATATATATATATATATATATATAAATATAGATAGAGAGAGAGAGAGATAGATAGATAGATATACATATGGGCCTGCGTTTAAGCATGACACAAGCTGTCACCTTTAATGTCTACTTTTATATTTACATACACTATCCCGAATTTTAACAATTTAACCAATAAATATAACATACCTTATATATATATATATATATATATATATATATATATATATATATTTGTTTGTGTGTGTGTATATTTTTATATTAATGTTTAACCAGTACACGGGTAAAGAGTCAGACAAGATAAAGGGTTACCGCTAAAAAAAGCAGATGAGGAATGAGGTGTGGTATGAATGAAAGGTGGGGGGGAAGGGACGATTATGGACAGATAACTATTGAGTCATAGAGGTTAAGATTGCAGCGACAAAGATTTACTTACATTTAGAATATGGAGTGATTCGACTCAATGGACATGGACATAGTCGTAGAGTAATGATAATCCTTCGATGTTACCTCTGTTGGAAAATGTTGCAAATGGACGACCAAATCCTTTTCTGGATCAACAAACAGGACAAGCAAATATACATTTGGTTCTGCGCCAGTTCCTTTCTGCTTATGCTCCATTTGATGACCGACTGCTTCTATTACTTTAGGCCTTTTCTTTAACAACGTAACTCAACATGACTATAAGCAACCAAAAATATAAAATTAAACCAGCTAAACAATCACATAAACCCTTTAACATTTCCTTTTCCAACTTCCGTCGTATTCGCACCAATTTCTGCAGTGTAGAATCTTTCCTCTTTGATAATAAGCCTGATATTCTAGCGCTCTGTGAGGCGAACCTTAACTCGTCAATCTATTCTGGTTTCTCGCATATTCTTCGTCTGTTTTTCATGTTTCACTTTTTTTTCACAATGTCCGTTTCTTTTCTCTCTTTGTTGATGTGTATCTTAGTAAAACAAACGTCGCGTTATGAGTGTGCTTCCAACTCGTATAAATAATGTAGACAACGAGTAAGTATAACATTCCTGGCGAGCTTCCTCTCCTTAGAAAGGACTCTAAAACCCATATGCATGTCCTGGGAGTTTATATCCGCGATCATCTCCCTCTGACTAGAGAGCTCTCTTTGAAATCTCCAGACCGGTCATATATGTGTCTCCGTCTATCTCTCCCCAATTCAGTAAGCTATCTTTTCTTTCTCTACTTTTATCCTCCTCCGTTCCTCTTTTTATCCTTTCCTCACCCCCCTATACCCAGTCTTTTCCCTTACTTACACTCTCTGTAGCCCTTTGCGTACTAGTGGCACTCTTACCTTGCTTGGAATGCTTCAAAAAATCCGTTTCCTATGACGGACTCTATGCGTATCAGTTCAAACAATAATATATAATATTGAGTGAGGTCAATATAATTTTAATACCAAAATGAATTTAATTAATTCTTTCCATCCATGTTAATGCAAACCTGAACATCCAGGGCTAATTATCAAAATGAAAATAACGTATTAATTATATAGGCTAAAAAAGAACAGGGGTGTGGTATTAAGGGAGTAACTGAGCTTTAGACATCGGGAATCAATGACTAATTTTTTTTATTTTGAAATATTGCATTTCATGTGGCCCAAAGCCAAACAAAGGGAGGGACAATTTGGTTGTCACTGACTATCATACACGTAGTTGATCTGGTTTACGACGCATTCATACAAAACAATTTATTCGTACACGATAAGAATTCATTCATCGCCATTGTATCCAACACATACCATAATACCGCATATCACAGCGACCCTTAAACACTCATGACATAAAAACATAAATAATTAGTATAAAGTGAGAACATTAAGTGTGGAAAAAACGAAATGGTTTTTAAACTGTTTTTATGTATGACTACTATGATGTCATTATGAAATGACCATCTCACCGTTGATAAGAACCATGATTAATTCCAGAATTGGGATTGATAATGATAAAATTAGTTGTTCCCTTACCATGAAACATTCGACATTCATTAACCAAACAGCCATTGCTTCTCCAGTTACGCTTTTTTAAACTTTCAATTGTGTTTCTATCTTCGGATGGAACACAAAAAAAAGGAAAAAAAAAAAAGGGATGTCTGGTCCCGGGGATTACAACTCTGCGACAGCAACTCCCACATTGTTCCAAAGAGTGAGGGTCGGTAGAGTATAGCATTGGTTGCAGGGACCGGACAATCTTTTTGACTTGGCCCCTATGCACGTGTTTGGATTTGGCACCTTAAACCGGCTTTATTCTATATACCCATCACTGTGGGTTGTTACGAGTAAATACCAAATGTAAGTACCGTCCTTCGGGCGGACAAACTATATTTTATCTCTCAATTGGACAGAGAACACATAAAAATAATTGTGAAATACCTGGTCAGGGGGATTCCAACTCTGCAGTAGGACCCACATCATTGAACCAAAGAGGCAAGGTCGGCAAAATATTGATACCAGCGCGACATCGATTGCGGGGAGGCAGCAATTTTGTGCCTTAGCCCATATGCCCACGCTTAGTCTCGCGATTTTAAACCGGCCTTATGCCATATTCTATGACGGTGGGAGACGAGTAAATACCAAGTTTTGTAACTGTTCTTATCTACAATGGTAATAAGGATAACAGTTATTTCTTTATATGGAAACATCCATAATTCATTAACCAATCAGCGAGTTCTATTCGGGTTAAGCTTTTTATCGCTCCATGGACATTGCGCTCGGATAAAAGTGTAGTATATGTTCTCTGAATCTCTACTGGTAATATTTGCTTGTAATAAATATAATAAATAATATAATAATACAATCTATAATAGTAATATAATACATAATTAATATAATATATAATGATAATATATTAAAGTTGTAATAAAATAATGATAGTAAAATATTTAATCTAAAACCCAACAATAATAATGATAATGGTAATATTAGCCGTTTCCTTATAACGAAATATTCGGGCTTCGTTGACCGAACATCAAGTGTTTCTTTCGGTTAATATTTATAAAAACTTTCTCTTAAAACATTTTTTTCAGGAAAATAGGTTTCTCAAGTGCTGTACCTTTGTTCTTTGCCGTATGTTTCTGTGGTTTTCTGTTCTTGCTTCTGACACTGTTACTGCGCAACTTCTCTTCAAGTTAAATGTGCTATCCATTTTAGTTGTTGCCGTTGCTGAAAATCCTCAAGTGATGTGGTTTACGTTATTTAGTGTAATTATTCTTTTGTGATTACGCCTGTCCACAAAGTTCGAAGGTGGATTGTCCTCGCTCAGTGCGACTAAGCGGAGTATGTTCTTATGCTTGAGCTGTAAAAGACACTGAAGAGATCTCTTTTAGGAAACCGTACATATGTTCTTCACTTCTACATACAGACACTAGGACCGGAATTCTGTTGAAAGTGATAAATAACAATATACTACTCGACCTCGAATCTTGTCCATTAACAAATGGATTTCACATTTAATCAAATACGTGAACTAAAGGAGAAAATGTCGCTGTCGCGTTTAATATATAGGCAGATGAATATGAAAAAAACTGTAAATCATCTGGTTTCTTAAGTTAAGTTTTTATGAAAAAAAGGTATTTAGCACTTGATTGTTTACTCTACTATAGTTTCTTTGTGAACCAGCATGACATGACACTGATTTTTATTTGTTATGTTATTTTCTTACACATTGAAATATCCTGATACTCAAGAAATTAGTTTTGTCTTTATGCGCACATCAGCAACTTCAGATATCAGTTCATTTTTCGTGATATTATCTGTTATTTTACTTTGCATAAGTACAAATATCCCGCTACCCCATCGAGAGAATAAAAACCTAAATTTGTTACTCGTTCTGTTAAACTCGCTTGTAAAACGTATGTATATAAAATATTAATTAAGGAAGAAAAAGCAGTGTCTATGACAATAATAACATAGGATATCTATTCATTGATCAGTTTACTAACAATAAAATTAGTGTATAGAAAACAGGGACTGATAGATGATATTTAAGTGCGATGTTATCATATGACATACCATACACAAAGTACAGTATAATGACAGTATAATGGATCGGGTTTGATGCTTTCAAAGAAGTTCATATTTCGATTTTATACAGTTAACATTTACTTAGTTTAATCTAATAGAGCATCAGACAAAATAAAGCAATTGAAACAGAAAATAATATTGCGTTAATCTTCGAGATCGAACAATTGATTTGTATCTAAAATCAATATTAAAAATGAGTATTTTTATTTATACACAACCACAGCCACTGTCACCTGTAGTACAAGACATAAAGCATATTTACACTATTTAAATTGTTCAGACTATTGCCCTAATTTTTATTGTCATATTCACGATTTTTCGGCCATTGAACGCTCCGGCCTGCTTCAGGTGATATGCGTTGGAATTTCGAACCGAACCCTTTATTTTGACCACCGGGATAGATTGTCCAACTTCACACCTTTTATAGATATCTCAGTTTCAGTTACTTCCATTTTGATAACTCTCCAAGATTTTTTTTTTCACCACAGCTGTGGTATTGAACTCACAACTCTTTGGTTCATGTCACTGGATTAATTCAACTAACACTTGTATCCACTGCGCTTTGTGTCCTTGTAAATAATGTAAATAGTTACTATTTAGTATATTGAATAACTAGAAACAATTCTAATTTGTCGCGATGCGCCTTTTATTATTATATATTTATATTATAATACATTACAAGTAAATCATATGTAATTCATATAATATCGCACATCGCGTGTATTAAATCGCTTAAGTTAAAACTAAGAAGTATAATGAATGAGGTTTTATTCCCGCATACGAAGAGCTAACAGTTTATATTATGGCTTTATTTTATCAAACATCAGATGTAAAAAAGAAGAAAAAACGTGAAAGGTTGCTCATTGTTGAGAAGGTCATCTTTTTGGCCGGTCGGAGTGGCATTGATTGATGTAACGTGTGGCAAATCTTTAAGCATTAGTGGGATCAAGACCCGGTAATCTTGTAAGAAAATCTCGCTTTTTGGGCAGTAGTAATAAAAAAAAGTCTTTTTTTGTCCCCGAAGCGCAAAAGAACGGCTTCGGACATCCTTGGAGGCCGTGATCAATAACATGGCTTGTAGAAAAGTGGTTTTAAATGAGAAAAGCCATTTTCTATCGAAACTTCTGCGCTTCTCCTTGGCTAATTCATCTTTTCTGATTCACGCGCCACATTCTTGTTTGTCTTTCTTTCTCCCAAAGGCTTTCCTACTTATTCCGGCATTTTTCTTCTTTTTTTTGCATATTTTCTTTCTTTTTCTTGTGATTATCATTTTTTTAAAATTCTCCCTTCACATTCTATACTTTCTTTTTCTCAACGCAAAAGTTTTTGAATTGTTTTAGGTTTTTTTTTACTCTGCTTTCATTTTCCTTCTAATATATATATATATATATATATATATATATATATATATATATATATATATATATATATATATAACTTTGAATGGTACGCCAATATCTAATCTTTATCCGTTTCTCTCTAATTTCTTTTTCCTAAGGTGCTCTCTCGATTTTTCACTCATACACAGGTGTATATATTCTCGCCACTCAGGCGTAAAGAGGCATCAAAATGTGTATGTATATATATAAGTTAGAGCGACTGTATATCAGGATATAGGTATGCGTTTTTAAAAAGGAAAACTTTTCTTGAAGCGTTTATTTTAGTTTTACTTTCAAGATAATAGATTAACTTAAATATTTTCAATGAGCAAAATACATTGCTGTATTTAAAGCTGAATTTAAACTGATTACAATGTTTTTTAATATTTAGTAAAAAAGCTAAATTCGTTCATATTCACAAATCCATCAACAGAACGCAAATCTTTTTATTAAAAAATCTTTCAAAAATAAAATTTGCTAACTGAAACTTTAATTTATTAGTTGATATAAAGTTTAATGAATCGGATTTGAAACAAATTACTTATTTTTAGTTTAAAATATTGCAGTAAAGCTTTTTTACATGTAGGGGGTGGATGTTTTTTATGAGGTGTTGACATCTCTCTCGATTGACTTACGTTTATAATTTTTTTTACGTGTGACATAACTGTAACAATTGATTGACGACTATAACGTGAACATCTTTTATATATATATATATATATATATATATATATATATATATATATCGAGAGAGAAAGATAATATTAGTGGTCATGTATTTAATATTTAATTTTAAAGAGGAAGAAAATGAAAAAAAAAAAAAAAAAAAAAGTTTACCACAGAAAAATAACACATGACACACACACACACACACACACACACACACACACACACATATATATATATATATATATTTATCTATATAAAAATTTCCAAAAGGATAGAATCCAGGTAGAACTCAATGTCCAGGACAGAGTAAGAATATAATTATAACGTGTTGTTACCTATAACAGTTCCATCTTGGATCACTAACATCGGACATGACATTTAAATGGAATGACTCTTATGATTATCTATACATATATCATTGTCTGTGTTTATGTGATACTCTATATATTTTTTGATCATTTAATTTGTGTTAGCAAACTTTATACATGTGTTGGTATATGTGTATATGTTTAAGTACAAATTAGTTCAATTTTTATATATTAAATGTATATATGGATGGATGTGCGTTTTTTTACCTTTTAATTTATATATATATATATATATATATGTGTGTGTGTGTATGTGTGTGTATGTTTATCTCTCTCTCTCTCTATATATATATATATATATATATATATATATACGGTATATATATATAATATATATATATAGGTTAAAACAGGTTCAAATCCTGTCGGAGGACGAATATTTTCTATGAAAATTTCTTAGACATTCAGGCCGGTAAATATTATTTAATACTGTTTATTATAAACAGAGCATTTACTTAAATATTTGTATCTATAAAAAGAATGTTAAACATAAAAATTTCTTAAAATATATATGTATATATATATATGCGTGTGTGTATATATATATATATATATATATATATATTGAAGGGTGTTTGTCAATTACGTTGATCGTTTCTTCAATTGAGACATTGGTAAAAAAATTCAAACACAAGCAAAGCTAAATTATTACGGATGGGATTTGTTGCTTTTAAGCTATGAAGAAATTCATTTGATGACGCAATGCTGTAATTATTGCGTGTGTATAGGGAAATTATGTAATTGAGGTTATTTGATTGTTGCTATACAAGTGTAGGTAATTGGGATGTGGCAGATCGGACAGGAAAACCTGGGTTATAGGTTTTTATATTACCATACATATATCCTGGTTGGTAATCACAGACAATTTTCTTGACTTTTTTGAGCTATTCGACCTCAACGTTGTACGTTGTTATTACTTAATTTACGGACGTTTTTCTTTAATTTAGTGAATTTTTTTGTGTAATCTTAGATTGTAAATTTTCGTTATAATCTAGTCTCTTGAGAACTACGTAATTATTGATTTTATCAGCTCGTCTGATACGCACACACACGGACACACACGTACACGCAGACACACACTGGGGGGGGGGGGAGACGGGGAATGGAGGAAAAGCAGCCAAAAAAGTTTTTCTTCAAAAGCATAGGGTTACCAGGGTTATGAAGTATATTACTCGAGTCGCTCGGATAGATTTATCGTGATGTATGAGCAGATGAGTAAATATGCTATGAATTATCCAAAGTGAATATTTTTTTATCACTGATTTATTTATGTATCTGCATACAGGCATAAGCCCCGGCTTATTTTTTTTATACATTTTCGTATCACCCATGTCTTGCAATATTGCCAGCTTTTTTGATATGCAAAAATTGCAACTTACACCTCAAACGTAATGTGCATAATCATTATTCCAAATCCCTCACTCGCTAATAGAGTCTGACTCACCTGTTTCTCTACTGTTGTAGTGTTCTTTTCTAATTTACGTCGCTTAAACTCAATTTCTGTCTAACATATTTCTTTTCCCACTCCCCACTCCTGCAGTTAACTGTTCATGTTATATCAGCTGAAATTCATAACATTTTTAAATTAAAACAATTAGGAAAATAAACTTCTCAAATTCGAAAAAAAAAATTCTTTCTAGCACTGATCGAATTATTCTTCTAATATTTTTGTTTGGTAGGTTGGTCACATGGGTCACGTGATTGTTGCTCAGTGACGTCAGTTCATATACTGACGAAAGTGGTCAGTCAATCAAGTAGTTTCCAGGAGTCAAACGCAGTGTTTGATTTTTTTAGTACGGGCAAAGCATAAATTTGCTTCGCTCGAGAGAATCCTCACCAGATAAAGAAACAATCTCCATCTCTCAGTTTCCATGTTGGAAAATAACCATGACGATGTTTTTTCTTCTGAGAAATATATCCTCACTAGTGACATAGAACATGAATCCGGCACTCTGTAATCCCATTGGGAAAACCTAAATATGGTTACTCCAGAAACATAGAAGAATCCGCAACTCGAATTCTAATTGGGAATTATTATAAGTAGCATCCTGTCTCTTCGTCTTTTTCCTAATGCTTGTTGTTGCATACATGTGTTATAGTCTACCCGTGTGGGACACGTGTAGATATTTGATATAATTTTGTGTATGATTTAGCGGTATAAAACTCTTTCTGAGAATAAAATATGTGTGTTAATCCTTTTGTTTCTACTGATCCGCTCCGTCCGTGTATTTAGGTGTTATATCATGGCTATTATAATGCCCATAGTGGGGAAAATGAACAAAGCAAATATTCCTTTTCTTACATAGCAACACCATTCTCCGATGACTTCCCCGACGTAATATGAACACGTAACCTTCTGGGATATACGCATTTTTTGCATAACACTCTCATAAACTGATAATCTGGACGTGATATAAATATGCCAGCAAATAGCGAATATCCCTTTCTTACCCAGCATCTCATTAGTAGTATGGAAAGAAAGTTAACAGTCTTATATTATTTTTTTTCTTTTCTAGTTTCATGTTCTATCCTTTATTGCTGTTGTTGATACAGAAAATGATGAAGAAATTTAATTCTTTCACAGTTAACATGTGGCTAATCTGCTAACGAATACATTATCACAAAAATCAATCCCTATGTTTAAATTTAAACAAAAGTATAATCTCTTTCAACAGTGTTCTCAAATTTCTTATTACAGATCATTCATGGGTTATTCTATCTTTACCTAAATACTGATTATTGCTGCCATGTTTTGACCTTCTTTGTTATTCCTATATTCTTGGGAGTACATGGATTATAATAACAAATCCATTACCGGATAAAAAAGAACATAACTAAAATCACTTTCACTCTAAATATATTTTAAATAATACAATCAAAGCAACGAAAGAAGACAAACATTTTTAGAAAGATACTTGAAAGTTGAAAAAAAAATTGCTGAATCTTTGGCATTCATTGTTGTGAATAATTATAGTAATGTGCCAAAAAAGATAAAAAAAGAAAAAAAATGCTTCTGGGATGTGTTGAAAGAAAATATTTGATCAGCAATCAATATATTTTTTCATCGAAGACTTTAATTGGGTCTATGCCCTTACTAATCAATAACCGTCTGTCAGTCCGCATTGTGGCCGATAAATCAATCGGCGATCAAAGAAAACACTTCCTTTGGGAGCGCATTCGTCAAAAGCCTCAGCCATCATGGTAGGCAGAAGTTTGGTTGGGATAGAATTTAATCTGCGTTTTCCAATTACGAGATTGCTTGCAAATATCATTTTCATCATTTAATTCGGCTTAAAATTGAGACTGGTTTTGAGAAATCGCTGAATTATCTATATGTATATCTCTATCAATTTGCCTAATTTTGTTCATATTTATTTATCTATCTGGCTGTTGGAAAACATATCTATTTCATTCCTTTCATGCTGAGTTGACTATAAAGTTTTTTTTCCTGTTCACAGGGACATTTAATATAAATTTTTCCTTTTGTTGTATAATGTCAATTTCGAAATTTGTAAAACTTCACGTAATATTTATAATTCATTTTAATATTGAAAATCGAAAAATAAAGGGATATTATAACTTATTAAGTTTTTTTAAGTTAAGAAAACTAAAGTTGTGATTCAAAGTCAAAAAATAGTTTTTCATAATTTCGTGAGAATGTAATATCAAATTTATCAAGTTTCACGTTGCTCCACGGTTGGTAGCAATGAAATCATATTTGCTTCGTGTTACAAGAGAAAACCGACATAGTCAAATATATAAATCAAGCGACCCAAATCATTTGCAATAGATTACGTTAGTCGCTTTGATGTGTGATTTCCACATAAAATAAACAGAAAGACACGAGGCCGTATTTAAATACTTGTTTTTTTTTTTAATTTTGGGTAAGACAATGAAAAGTTGTTAATTTCCAAGAATGTTGAA